AACATACCATGAACATTCAGTGTATTAACTCTGACAGATTCCTGGGACATGCATGGAATGTTCATAATGTAACTCATGTATGTCCCAGGAATATGGATGTACATCACATGAATGTTCCAGGTATATTCTGGGAATATCATTTTGCTATGTGGGAAATACATAAAATCCGTTTTTCAAACTTCTCCCAAATTTCACGCGCGGCCTGATAAAGTTTAAACGCCGTTGTATTCATTTGACGTAAAAAAGTAAAACTAAATTTGCGCCTAAAACTACTGTTTTTTTCTTTTTCTATTTTCAACTATCGCTCCATTGGTTAAGCTAAAGGTCTAGGCATTGAAAGTGACTTACTTCGATCGATTGATTTTCACGATTTGATCATAAAAAATCAAGAAAAAAATGTAATTATATAATAATTTGTAAATCACTATTAAGTTTAAGAATTATTAAGTTTTTTTTATGTTTATATCGCATTTAAATAACTAATTTTGATTAGAACGCTAATATAGAAATAAACGTGGAATTGCCTACATATGTTAGCAATTTTTCGCTCCAGGGTAAATGGAAACAAAGCCATAAATTTGGATTAAGAAACGGGATACAGACCAAAGGTTGTCGGTGGTACCAATTGAACTACCAGCGGTAAATGTACAAAAAAATGCAGGTCTAATACAGCAGATGTGAGAACTTGCCTTCGTACAGTGGCTTTTTACAAATTAAATAATTAAATGCCATAGAAAACCTCAATATTTTTTTTTATTCAAAATAATCAAAAACTGCCACATTTCGCAGATAAATCATGATCAGAAAAATCACAGCAATACTGTCTTTCCACTTTCACTCCATTGCATTTCACTTTAGGAAAATTACTGTTAGGCACAAAGTAACTAAAATCCTGTAGGTACCTATTATTAGAAGGTGGTTCTAAAAGCGTTCGAGCAAACGAAGGAATCAAGGATTGGTTCTGAACAGGTCCTGAACCGAGCCTGCGCCCTGATTCAGTTCGTTATCGGTTCTGAACCGATTCTGAATCGCTACCGCGAATGAAGCTAATACAAGTCATACAAGTCAACAATAAAAACTACACAAATGAAGTTAACCGCCGGTTGAAACCTTGAAACCGACCTTTATAATGCCCACCCTTAGGTCGGGTTGCTTTGGGGCAAGTTGCTTCTACTGACTATCATAAACTTTACCTTATCGTTGTTCATCTTCAGTTTATAATTCTTACCGGCGTCATTTAGTTCTTCATGCATTTACTGCAAATTTCTAATGTTATCCGCGATCAAGACATAATCATCCGCACATCTAATATTATTAACAAATATTTACCTTCATTTATCTTCAAACGTTTCTTTAAAATTGACAGGACACGTCCTTGCCTAACTCCCCTACATACAGTCCGCGACACTTGATTACTCTCACTAACAGATTGAAATACAGATTTAGACTCATTTTTGTTAATAGTCAAATATTTGATAAGCAAGCCACATGTATCATTGGATACAATGTTTTAATAGTATTCGTGCAACAATTCGTTTAATTCACTCGTATTTCACAATGGAGAAATTGTTAGAAGCAACTATAATAATTGATAGTGCGACTCTTGATAACTTTCATACACTTTTTAGAATCGTAGGTCGCTAGGCAAGTAGAAGAAACCAAACCATGTCACTTGACAACGGATTTACAGTTGTCCAGTAGTTATTTGAGTATATTTGAGTGTTCTAAAAGTGATCGGTATTGATATGAAACGCGAAAAAAATTTATCGTTAGAAGAAAGTGGGCGAATTGAAGCTTATCGAGAAACGCATTATTCAAAACAAGAAATTGCAAAGAAAAATCGGGCACATCTCATGGGTAATCAATGCTTATGTAAAAGCTAGCTAAAACTACGGAAATAATAGACAAGGACGCACTTCAACTGCAATAACACTAAGGGAACGTCATATAATTCTTCGACTTGCATCCAATTCTTCGTCAACAGCTAGACAAATAAGGGATCGAAGTGGAAGTAATGCATCCGTACGAACTATCCAAAGGGTAATAAAGAAATGTACAAACTTAAAAAGAAGAAAACTACGCAAGAAGCCTTTGCTTCTTGCACGTCATGAACAAGAACGTTTAGAGTTTTCACGCATTTACCATAACTGGACAAAGGAATGGAAAAATGTCGCTCTCACGGATGAAAAGAAGTTTAACCTGGATGGTCCTAATGGTTTCCAATATTACTTTCATGACGTAAGAATGGTAGAAATTTGTTTGGCTCGCAGTCACAGTCGGGCAGGCTCAGTGATGATTTAGGCAGCAATATCAAGTCAAGGCAGAGTTGGCATCGAGTTTCTAGAAAGTCGGAAAACTGCTCAAAAGCATTTGGAGCTGCTGCAACAACAACTTGCTAACATAACAGCTTTATTTCCGGGTCAAGAATGGATATTGCAACAAGACAATGCGCCAATTCACACCGCCCAAATAATCCAAACCTGGTTGACTGCTAATAATATTTCAGTTCTGTAGTGGCCTGCTATTTTCCCAGACTTAAATATCATATAAAACTTATGGGGTTGGTTGGTCAAACGAGTTTATACTGAAGAAAGGCAGTTTATTAATAGAGAATTAATAGCCGCAGTTAGAGCCGCCTGGGAAGAAGTTCAAGTGAATCTAATAGAAATGTATTCAATTCATTGCCTCATCGAATGTTAGCAGTCATTGACAAGCAGGGAGGGCATACCAAATATTAAAATGAGTATTAGGTTTAAATGTTGTGTTCTAGGTTCATTCCAAAATATGAGAGTAATCAAGTGTGTCATTAAAAATTACAACATTTGCATTACAAATAAAAATCAATTGTAAAATATGAAAGTGTAAAACAAATTATTAAATAAATATTGTTAAAATCGTTAATCTAGTGTTTGATGTAGCTTACTAATGAAAGTTTCTAGCATTAGTGAAAACTAGTCAAAATTATTAGGTGGGAGTAATCAAGTGTCGCGCACTGTATTTCTATATCAGGTGTTTTTAGATTCGTTGTTTAAATGTGCAATTTGATACCAGGAAATGTTAAGATTCAGAACCGGAACTGGCCAAGAACCAGTAACGATTCTATAATTAAACGCGATTTGTCGATATAATGGGGCAGTACTAGATATTTTTCGGCATGTTTCATGATTTTAGAGCTGCACACGTTCCTAATAATCCCATCTAAGTCTAGGCCCAAAGATACCTAGTTTCACTAGCCCATTCTCATTAGTAGAAAACACGTTTCATATCTGTAATATAACTGACTAAGAAAAAAGTTCAATTTCTACCCAGTGTCTAGTGAAAATGGCCAATTCTTACTCCAAAACTGCTTTGGATTTCTAATATGGTGTTTTTCCATTCTTCGTAACTAATCTCAAAATCCCAATTAGCCATACATATAAGAACAGTCTAACAGGTCTAGCTTGATTTAAAAAATCTACCAAGAAACCTTTGTAAATAATTTTGTTATCTATATCTAGCTGTACTTTAATTACGATTACTCGATAGCTGTTGTCTTAACAATGGGTTTTTTTGCGTTCAACAATTAGCAAATCATTGAGCAAGGTTCATGTTTTACTTCTACTGTGGGAACTACTAAAATAGATTTAAAACTTACAATACTTAAAGACACATTATCAATTTTCAAATGCAGCAACGAATATTCAAGACCTTTAAAGCTACCACCGTTCGGCTCCAAAGTCAACTGGCTGTTATGACTGAGATCCAGGTACAGCAATCTGGGTAAGCCTTTAAAAGTTCCAACGTCAATTTGAGCCAAGCGATTATAAGAAAGGTCCAGGTAGTTTAATTTCTGAAAAAAAAATTCAAAATGAAGCGTTTTTATCTGAAAAATAGACATATTGTTTAAAATTAAGAGTTCATATTATCTGTGTAGACTTACTTACTTGACACTACAGTTATAAAGTGTATTAAATTACTGAATCCACCCTAATAATTGCAATGGTTAAAACACCGGAAATAAAGAAAATTCAATAATATTGTAACGGAAATGGCCTGGGGTACTCACGTTTGGAATGGGGGATCGAAATTCATGGTATTTCAGTAAATGGGAGCCCCATGTGGGCCCCATTTACTGTCAAATATGACACTGACAAGCGGGAAATTTCGCACCTGGGCTGGAGATTTCGAGAACCTTCTGGGTTACCTGGAGGAAA